TGGCTAAAAGAACATTTAACAGTTAATACAGCCTCATAACCAAAAAATGTTTTAAACACAATGAAGAAATTCATCTAATCCTATATATGTATTGTATTATTTTATGGCTGTGGAACTTGGAAAGTAAAACAATATGAAAAGAAACGACTAGGTGCTACCAAGATGTGATTTTGGAGAAAATAATCAAGAAGTCTTGGGTCGAAAGGAAGACTAACAAAGGCTACAAGAACAGGAGAGAAACAAAACATCATATCCTTCATCATGACAAGGAAAACGAAACTTATTAGATACCTCATAAATATTTCTTGTGTTATTTGTTTAGGCTTCTGTAGGTTATGTGGAATAGAATTTGGTTTTTTTTGGCTTTGAAGTTTGGAATTTTTTTTACTGTTTAATGTAGGACTGTTTTTTGTTCATCGCCGTATGTTATTGATGAATTTTAATAAGTATTTGTTTTATGGATTGTCTTCTTTATGGTGTGATTTTTACTGTTTGTTATAGGTCGGTTTTTGGTTCTTTTTTGTGAATTATGTTAGGGATATGTTTAATGATTTGTCCTTTTTGTGTTGGGCATATTTGTTATCTTTTATATGCATATATAATAAAGAATTTCTTTTGTTTGGTTGTTTGTAGGTAGTAATGATCAGCTGTTTAACTCTTTTGGCTTTGAATTAGGGAACTGTTTTAACTATTTGATTGAGGTATGTTTTTTATCTTTTGATATTTGTGTTAGGTAATTGTTTGATAGATTGTCCTTTTAATGGTATTGGATAAATCTGTTGTCTATTTTCATGAGTGGTATTTCTTAGTTTCTTCTTTTGGATTGTTTCTTATGTTAACTGTTATGTTGGTCTGTCTTGTCTTCTGCCTTTTTTTGTCGATTTTATTGGTATTTATTATCCCCCAGGGGAACACGTTCTTACGTGTTTACGGGTCTAAGCGAACCCGGGGTCCCGAGCTATTTGTTTGGTTGTCTATTGTTAGGAATGATCAGCTGTTCAACTTTTTTTGTTCGAATTAGGGAACTGTTTTATTTATTTGATGTAGGTCTCTTTTTTATTTTTTGTGTTTTTTAATTGATGATTTTAGATAGGAATTTGTTTTATGGATTGTCTTTCATATCGTGTCATTTATGTTTTTTGATATTGGTCAGTTTTTTGTTTTTCAGTTTTTGTTTGTGATTTGCATTAGGTATTTGTTTAATGGATTGTCTTTTTTATGGTGTTACATATATTTGTTATCAATTTTTGCTACTAAATAGAAATATAGTTTTTAAGTTTTAGGTATGTTTTATTCCTTGGTTTTTTTTTTTTTTTTTTTGTTATTTGTTTTAGATATTAATTTGATGGATTCTTCTATATATGATATTCAATATATTTATCTATTTTTATGAAAGGTATTTTTAGGATTTTTTTCAATACTTTATTAAGTTGTGTTCAATTGTATTGATTTTTATTTTTATTTACAGAACCTGGATTTTTTTTTTCTTAAACCAAGGATTCTTCGGAAGCCAAGTTGCCATAAATTTAAATTGATCTATCTAATTTTGTTTCAAAATATTCAAATTTTAATTCATTTCATTTTATATTTTTTTTCAGAACTTGGATTTTATTTTTTTGATTCAAACTTAAGAAAGTGTCTTTCAAGATCTAGGTAACCACTTAAATTTATTTTTTTTGAATTTTATACTTAATTTATTATATATTATATAATTAACTAACAATAATTAACTTCTAAAAATTGTGTTTATAGATGTAAAATATAATTCAATGTAAATTAAACAGTCTAATTTTGTTTCAAAATATTCATATTTTAATTCATTTATTTTTATGCTTTTTCAGAGTTTGGATTTTTTTTTTTTTTTACTGACCCAAATCAATTTTCCTCCGGGAGCCGGGGTCCCCTTTTCATTTTTACTTTTAAACTCTACACTTTGAATTCTTTATGGTACAAAAATATTATTAATCTAATTTACATAAAATATCTTAATAAATCTGATATATTTCTTTTCAGAACTTAGATTTTCCTTTGTTTCAACCTAAACATAGTGTGTTTCGAGAGCCGGGTAACCACTTATAATTTATTTTTGTTGAATTTTATTCATTAAATATTTAATGGAATAAAAATCAAATTCATTTAATTTACATAAAATACTTTGAAACTTTTAAATCATTTGATTAAAAATAACTAATAATAATTAACTCTTGATAGATGACGCTCATAAATGTAAAATATAATTCAATTTAAATTGATCTATCAATTTTGTTTCAAAATATTCAAATTTTAATTAATTTCATTTTATATTTTTTTTTTCAGAACTTGGATTTTTAATTTCCTATCAACAATCCATCTAAGGAATTTACAGACCCTTGTGGTAGATTCTTCAGGTTGGGTGTGGTCAGGTCAGGTTGATCTGTGTGCAAACACTTCATCATCGTAAAAAACTATTTTTCAGGAATTCATCAATTATATCGAGAAGAGTAATGGAAACAAGATTGGAGTTATCTATATTTAAGTATTTCTTTTTTTATTTATAATGTATTTACTAGGAAGAGCGCAATAGGTTTTGTGTTTTGGCTTCCAATAAGAATTTAATTATTTAAAATTTTATAATCTTAATTTTGTCTAGAGTTGGATATTTTTGTTTTTTATAACTAACAGTGGTTTTTCTATATTTTTTTTGGTTATATAATTATGTAGTATAGAAAATTATTTATGTGTTGACTTTTAATGAGGAATTCTCTTTTTACTATTTGATGTAGGATTATTTAATGTTCTTTGGCTGATCTTTTTTATGATTTTTGCTAGGTATAAGTTTGATGAATTGTGGCGTTCGGTGTTGGATATATTTTTTGTCTGTGTTTACGAGTCTTAAATCTTGAATTATTTTTTTTCTTGCTTGTAGGTAGGGTTGAACAGCTGGTCATTTGTTTGGCTTATAATTAAAGATCTTTTTACGGTTTGATGTCTTGTTGTTTTGTTGTTCTTTTGGTTTATGTTTTAAGATTTTTGATAGGTATTTGTTTGTTGTACTTTTGGCTTTTTGGAGATATATATATTTTATGTGATTTATTTTTTTTTGGTATTTGGTCCATTTTCTATGCTTTTTTGTAGGTTGTGTCGAATAATATTTAAGTTTTGGTTTTTATTTCGGTATTATCATTTTACGGTTTGATGTCTTGTTGATTTATTGTTCATTTGGTATTTGTTTTAAGATTTTTGAAAGCTAGTTGTTTGATGCAAATTTGTCGTTTTGGTGTTGTATATATTTTATGTGTATTTAAATGTTTGGTAATTATTACATCTTATTGGTTGTTTGTAGGTAGGGTTGAACAGCTGGTCATTTGTTTAGGCTTTTAATTAGAGATCTTCTTTTTACAGTTTGATATCTTGTTGGTTTGTTGTATGTTTGGTAGTTGTATTTAGATTTTTAATAGATATTTGTTTAGTGTACTGTTGTCGTTTTGATGTTGTATATATTTTATGTGTATTTTTATGTTAGATTTTAATATTTGGTTTATTATTTTGCTTAGACGTTTTGTAGAATGTGTTGATTAGTATTTATATTCTGGTTTCAATTTATTGATTATATTTTAACAGTGTTATGTCTAGTTGATTTTTTTTTCTTTTGGTTTATGTTTTAAGAGTTTTGATAGTTAGTTGTTTGATGTAAAATTGTCGTTTTAGAGTTGTATATATTTTATGTGTATTTAAATGTTTGGTAATTATTACATCATATTGGTATTTTGTAGACAGGGTTGAATAGCTGGTCATTTGTTTTGGCTTCTAATTAGAGATCTTCTTTTGATGAAATGATGTCCTCTTGATGTGTTATGTTTTTGGTTTTAGTTTTAAGATTTTTATTAGGTATTTGTTTAGTGTACTGTTATCGTTTTGGAGTTGAATATATTTTATGTGTATTTTTATGTTAGATTTTAATATTTGGTTTATTATATTGTTTAGACATTATGTTAAAATAATTATTGTTATAATTAATAATAATAATAATAATAATTGTTTAAATTTGATAAAAGTTATTACTGTTTGTTATAGGTCTGTTTGTGTTCTTCGGCGTCTTATTGTGATTTGTTTAGGGTTTTTTTATCCCCCAGGGGAACACGTTCTTACGTGTTTACGGGTCTTAGCGAACCCGGGGTCCCGAGCTCTTGTTAGGTTGTTTGTAGGAATTTCTGACCAGCTGTTCAACTGTTTTGGATTCGATTTAGGTATATCTGGTATATCTAGGTAATATCTGACCAGCTGTTCAACTCTTTTGACTTTGATTTAGGGAAATAGTTGTACTGTTTGTTATTGGTCATCTTTTTGTTCATCGGTTTTTCTTTTTGATTGACATTAGTTACTTGTTTAATTGATTGTCCTCTTTATAGTAATAGATTTATTTGTTGTTAGTTTTATGAAAGGTATTTCTTGGTTTTTTTTTTTTTTTTTTTTTGGTTGTTTCTTATTTAGTATTGAATAGTACTGAATTTTTGCTACTAAATAGGAATATGATTTTTACTTTAATATTCTTGGTTTTGTTCTTCGGATTTTTTTTTTTTTTGTGATTTATTTTAGGTATTTGTTTGATGGATTGTTGCTTTATGTGGTATTAGATATATTTGTCTATTTCAATGAAAGGTATTTTTTGGTTTATTCCCAATTATTTTTTAATGTTGTATTCAATTGCTTTAGTTTTATAATTAATTTCAGAACATGGATTTTCTTTTTTGTATCAACAACACATGTAACCTAAACAAGGATTTTTCGGGAGCCAGGTAATCACTTTTAATTTTTTTTTTTTTGTTAAATTTTATACATTAAATATTTAATGGAATAAAAATCAAATTCATCTGATTTACATAAAATAATTTAGATCTCTT